ATATATGTTTGTATATATGTAGATATAATATATCCAACAATAGAAAATTTGCAATGTACATCAATATAAACTATCGTCATAATATACAATCTACAGTGTAGAATACGACATTATATGACACATACAACAATAATACCATACAATATGATACGAGATTGATCAATTGTCTACTCACCATCTCCATGCCATGTGCATCGGTTTCTTTCAAGTGAAGTTCGATACCTCGGGCAGAGACGGCCCTGCCCTCGATTTCGGACAGGCGCACCTGTTTCTTCACAAAGGTCTTACCCGCCAGTTGGTTGACCAAAAATAAAAACCTACACGGGGATTCAATGGGCCAGGGCGGGATATATTGTAAATAGAAATTAATATATATTTGAATAGATGTAAATAGAAATAATATACATTTGAATTGATGAATGAGAAGGCATTTCAATAGATATAGTTGAAGACATTCACGTCGATCGACTAGCCTTAAATAGATAGGCTAGATTGCCATGTGGTGGACAAGGGCTGGGTAGGGGACCATGCATAGCAAACATCGACAGTACACACCCCAACGACTGAATAGACGCATACACAAATCATAACAATACATGTTAATGTTAAAGCGATATCAATGTGTTGATAAAATGATGGTAAAACGTGTTTTAAAATTATTATATGTTAAAATGTTATTAATGTGTCAAAATGATATCAGTGTGTTGAAATGATATCAATGAGTTAAAATGATATTAATGCGTTGAAATGATATTAATATGTATAGGCACCTGCAACTAGGAATTCATACATAGTCATATACACATACACATATACCCAAATACACATACACATATACACAAATACACATGCACATACACAAATATACATATAAACATACACATATACGCATACACACATGTACAAACACATATACACATACACACATGTACATACTCATATCCACATACACACATGTTCATACACATACATATACACACATATACATACACATATGCATATACACACATGTGCATACACATACATATACACACATGTACATACACATATGCACATACACACACGCACACACATATACACACATACACTCTCCGTACCTTCTGGTCACCAGCACAACCGGACTGGTGATCCACCTGTGTGTACGCTGACAGGTCCACGTGGTTGACATACTCCTCGTGCAGGTGCTTGCCGTTGCGCATCCATGCGAGCATGTTAGCGCCTGTGGACGAGTGTATGTCAAACGGTCGCACAATGCGATCGGTGTCGATGTACCGCGGAGGGCGCACACGGCCCTTGAAGCGACCTGTTACACGGAGAAGGGTTTAGGGTTTTAGGGTTTAGGGTTTACCTAAAATGTTGCACGGAGGAGGGTTTAGGGTTTAGGGTTAAGAGTTTGCCTAAATGTTACATGGAGAAGGGGACAGGCAGCAGAGGTGCGTGCGAGTGGGTGCAGGGGGGGTGTGTGTGTGTGGGTGGGTGTGGATTGTGTATGTATATGTGGAGGTAGTTATGGGTGTGAGTATATGTATGTGTTGTATATGGGTATGTAGTTATGGGTATGAGTATGTGTGTGTATTGTGTGTGTGTAGAGTTTACAGATACAGTGTGTTACTGTTTGTTTGTAGTTATGAGTGTGAGTATGTGTGTGTATTGTGTATGTGAGTACAGTTTATAGATACAGTGTGTTACTGTGAGTATGTGCGAAAGCCGTGACGAAATACATAGACAGACGCTTGCCCTAACCATGGCCCAGAAGTTTAAAAAGGAGTAGGTAAAGTGATGACGAATAGTATGGAACAGATAGGGTTATGAATAGATACAAAACCCTAAACAGATGAACTGTGAACAGATGAAACATGGAGGTTCACTATGCAAACGGAAGATAAGGAAGGCATAGTATGACTCAGATACGACAAACACGCGTTACCTCGGTAGCTATGAATGGGATATATGTATCAGACACGATATCTATAATTCTCACATAATATACTTTGGGGTGTGAGAAAGAAAAAACCTAGAACATGACATGTACTCACTTCATACCCCAAACCCTCAAAAGGAACATATCCAATGTATATCCTATCCCTCCCCACTTACCGCTGGTGGCCAGGGTCACAATGCCGTTCATGGAGTAGGTAAAGATATCAAAGACCGCCAAAAAGGGCCTCACAAAGAAGCCTATTGCCCCCTTAGCCAATCCTTTGGCTGCGCCTTGTGCACCGTACTGCAGACCACCCTTGATGGGTTTGACTATGACACCGCACACCCCAACTAAGACCCCCTGCACGAACAAATAGCCCCCCACGTAGAAGTTGTCCGACGGACTGTTGGACAGGTTCTTGGTACGTCGGCGTCTGAGGTACGTAGGTAGGGGAGAGAGAGAAATGGTACAGATACGTGGATATGGGGAAAGACTAGCGAGAGGTGCATATATTCGTGTGCACGTATATGCAGTGGTACACATTGTCCTGTTTTTGGTTTTTTTTACATTCTTGTACACCTCTATTAAGACCCCTGATTCGAATAAATAGCCCCCTACGTGCAAGTTGATCGAGGGACTGCTGGAGAGGTTCTGGCTACACCGGCGTCTGAGACAGTAGGCACGAGTGATTAGTGGTTAAGATAGTAGGATAAGGCTATCATATGTATATATATCACATGTACATGAATGTGTATACGTATCAGATGTACATGCATGTATATATATATCACATGTACATGCATGTATATACATATCACATGTACATGGATGTGTGCCTATAATACATATACATGTATGTATATACGAATCGCATGTTCACGCATGTGTGCCTATTGCCCAAGTACGTACATCTGTGTGGACCAATAAACGTACCTGGCGTCCAAGTACTCTTTGTCGAAGGTTGCCAGCGACACCAAATTGCCAAAGCTCATCGTAATACGCACAAACGCACCTGAAACCAAGTCACAGTGGAAGACGAATTAGAAGTACATTAGACGAGAAAGGAATGGGCCATGGGCCAGGGGTTTTAAAACAAACCCTAAAACCGTAAAATAAAGTGGATCGTATTTGAGTTACCAAACACACATGTGGTAGGCAAACAAGGATCATTGCATTAAAGGATTGACCTCAAGTAGAGTCACTTGCGGTGGAACAAGACCGACCCAATACATCGGACACACTATAAGCGCCCAGAGTCCTGACAGCACACACACACACACACACACACACACACACACACACACATGTATACACATACACACACATACAAACACCTAGTTCGATACAAATCACACACACACACACATACACACATACACACATGTATACACATAAACACACATACAAACACCTAGTCCAATACAAATACCACACACACACACACATACACACACACACATACACACACACATAATCTCACACACACATATATATATATCCACACACTTACATACACGCACATATATATATCCACACACATACATACACACACACACTCAAAGGTAGTGCAGCGCTCGCATTCTATCACGGTATGGTGAAAACATGTACATACCCAACACTCCAGACAGACTGTAGGCGCCCAGAGTTCTAAAACCACCAGCTATGCCGTAGTTAAGGTGTCCACTTTTGGCGCCTTTGGATATTTGGGACCCAAACGAAGTGAACCCAAACGCCACCTCATTGACCGTTGCTACGGGGTTGCCAAGCAACTCCACACTGCCAAACACTTTGTAAATCTGGAAGCAGGTGGTAGGTAAGATATGGAAACTAAAATTAGAAAAAACTGAACCCGGAACATCACTGCTGCTGCTCTGGGGGTTGCCAAGCAACCCAAGCTGCCAAGCAACCCAAGCTGCCAAATGCGTTGGAGATCTTTGAGGAATGGTATGTAGGTATAAAATCTAAAGATAAAAGAAACCGACTCGTGAATTCACTTCTATTGATAAAACCCTTAATACTACTACATTCACATGTACAATCAAATACACTCATACACACGCACACTACTAAATACATATGCACACACATACTACTACACTCACATGTACAATCAAATACACACATACACACGCACACTACTAAATACATATGCACACACATACTACTACACTCACATGTATAAATACACCCACCCACTACACACTACACACACACTTTACAAATACACACACACACTACACACTTCACACATACTATACAAATACACACATACTATAAAAATACACACACACACTACACACATACACACACACCTGTTGCAACCCCACGCGCCTGTAGTGGCGCCCGATTTGATTGGCAAACAGATTGGTGGTGGTCATAGTCTGCGTCACTTCCACTGACTTGAGCATGATAGGCGCACGTGTGATGTTGCTGACAGACCCACCGATCGACCGCAGAAGGATGATCACAGGCGAGCTAATGGGAGAGACATGAGAGACATGGACAGGGGTGGGTGTGTATGCGTATGGGTTAGGGCGTAGACTTGTATGTGAATTTGTGTGTGATGTATGCGTGTGTGAGTGAGGTAGTAGTCTTGTATGTGTGTATGTGTATGTGATGCATGCATGTGTGGGTTAGATAGTCTTGTGTGTGTGTGTGTGTGTGTGTGATGCATGCATGTATTCCCGTGGATGTGTGGTATAGTCCTCTGTTTCTAATTAGGGATATGTGGTATGGTCATATATTCCCAAATATGGATGTCTGATATAGTCCTATATTTCGATTTCTGTATTTGTCATATAGTCACACACTTCTAAATATACATCTATGATACAGCCTCATATGTCTATTCATGTACGTATCATACTACCTTTCTATTCATACCGTATATCTTCTACATAATCAACTATAACCCCATACACCCCCACTCTCGATTTTACGCTTGCCCCATGCACTGACCTGTTGTCCTGATTTTCTTGGCCATCGTCGCCTGAAAGTGTGAAACTCAGAGCCGCCTTGACCGGTGCGATGTAGAATTGGTCCAGGTACACGGATTGGGACATCTAAGTGTGAAGTGTGAATTAGTTTCGCACTAATTTGTTTCGCATGAATTAGTTTCAGGTTCTAGGTTTCAGGGGTTTAGAAGCCCAAAACAACCCCTAGTAAAACGGATTATTGGTTAGTCCATAGTTCGACAAACTACGTAGAATTGGTGCAGGTGCTGAGATTGGGTCACCCATTTCAGCATACGAGCAATGGATCGTTTTTATCTCGATTCTTTCTTCATCTCCTTTAGCAAATATGTTTTCCAGTCACTCTAAAACACTATAATCTTATGAATAATCAGTTCTATACCATGAGACCAAACTTTTGAGGAATTAGGGTATGTAGGGTTTTAGGATCAATCCTTCACGCCTCTCCACAAGCATACACATTCGCATGCATATCGGTTTTGTAAATATCGGTACGAAGCCTGAAATCTGCTTTATTCTAGCACACCGTCCCATAGTTCTCCAGCCCACTCGCTCGAGTGGGGGAAGGTCAGCAATAGGGCCTTTTCGCTCGAGTGGGGGGAGGTCAGCAATAGAGCCTTTTCGCTCGAGTGGGGGGTTAGTATAGGGTTCTATGGCAAAGGGGCAAATACCAACGTACCTGATCGGACACCTCCGCAGCCATGAGCGGTTTGACACAGCTGCGAATGGCCTCGCCCATTCGTTCGATGGGACGACTGACTAACACATTGTCCAACGGATCAGTTGCAGTGAAGTTCATGAGCTCTAAGAGAATGTTCTCCTCCAATTGGATGCTCAACGGACGAATCTTCAAGGCTACATAGGGGTATACCTGGATATTGAGAATGTGATGTAAGTCATTGTGTGCGTGTAAATAAGCGTACAGTTATATATATATATATATATATA